ACCTGTCACTAGGGGGATTCCGAAGCCTTAGTGCCCTATTTGGCCGGGATCAGGGGCCAACATTTGACTATTCTCACCCTCGAGATGTCTACAGTAACCTCAGCCATCTGCCTGGGGCCCCAGGGGGTCCTCCAGCTCCTCAAGGTCTGCCCTACTGTCCAGAAAGATCTCCTCTCTTAGGTGAGTGCAAAAGGAAAACGACAAAGGAAAGGACAAGGTGTGGGAGTGAGGAGCATTGGGTGGGCATGGAGTGGCCAGAATGGGGCTGACTCAGGTACTCTGCCAGGCGTGGTGGTGTCCACCTTTACCCCCAGTACTGGGGAGGCTGAGGTAGGAGGATCAGTGTGAGTTCAAGATCAGCCAGGGCTACAAAGTGAGTTCAAGGCCAGCCTGAGCTGCATAGCAAGATCCTGTCTCAAAATGACAAAATAGGGCCAGGGAGATGGCTCAGTAGAATAAGTGCTTCCCTGGCAAGTACAAGGGCCTGAGTTCAATCCTTGGTTCCGCAAAAGGAAAAAAAAGACCAGCCCGGGTTATACAGTGAGTTCAAAACCAGCTAGGGGCTAGGATTATATGGTTACCGCAAAAAAAAAAAAAAAAAAAAAAAAAACTTTTAAAGAGAGATTCAGGTCCTCTGAAGGTGGGCGGATGTGGACAGAGAACACTGCATTCAGTTTATACCAGACTCTCATGTTGAGCTGCAACTTTCTGCTGTCTGACCATTTATAGGCTCCTTCTGCCCCAGGGTAGGAATTATTTCCCCAGTAGATGAGCCCTAGTTTAATTAGTTGCTAGCCTTGTTCTTTTCCACCCCCATCTGCACATTTAAATCCTGTGTGGCAAGACGAAGTTATGGAGCCCTACAAAAGGCAGACAGGCTAGGTAGGAACCTGTACCTTCTAGACAGCAGCGGTGGAGGGAAACTCAAGGCTGAGGAGCTTTCTGAGTGAGGCCTGGGGACACCGCCTGAAATCAGATTGCCAGGGTCAGAGCTATTCTCCTTGTGCTCGTTCTTTTCTCCTTGTACCTCCAACTGTTGACCTTGCCATTGTCTCTCAACAGTGGGTCCCGTGTCTGTGTCCTTTAGCCCAGTGCCATCACTAGCAGAGATTGTGGAGCGGAATCCCCGGGTAGAGCCTGGGGGCCGGTACCGCCCTGCAGGCTGTGAGCCCCGTTCCCGAACGGCCATCATTGTACCCCATCGTGCCCGGGAGCACCACCTGCGCCTGTTGCTCTACCACCTGCACCCCTTCCTGCAGCGCCAGCAGCTTGCTTACGGCATCTATGTCATCCACCAGGTACCCCCGCTACCCACCCCGCTTTGTCTTTTGTGTAAAGAAGCCTTCAAGTAAATGCTATTCTCCCATGTAATGAGTCTCTGGAATATTCGTAAGAGGCCTGACTCTGGAATGTGGAGGAGCACCTGGCCTTGTTCTTCCAAACTTGTTAGTCCTATGCTTCTCATTATTCTGAGCCGATTTCTTTTGATTTTGGTACTGAGAATTGAACTCAGAGCCTTGCACTTGCCAGGCAGGTGCTGTGCCATTGAACTACATCCCTGGCACTATTCCTTGATCGTTCCTTTTTGAAGTGGCATATGCATATTTGGAATTGAGAAGATGGGGGCTAAAGCTCTAACTCTGCAACTTGTGACATGCATGACTTTGAGCTAGATAGTTATCACTGTAAAATGAGACAAACAAGCCAAGCATGGTGGTGCATACAAAAATCTCAGGACTCAGGAGACTGAGTCAGGAGGATTGCCAAGAGTTCAATACAAGCCTGAGCTACACTGAGTTCAAGGCAAGCCTAAACTACATAGTAAGACTTGTCTCAAACAACAACAGAAAACAGAGAGACAAATTAATACATCACCTGTTTCACACAGTTGTTATGAGGACAAAATGCTATACAGTAGCACCTAAATATCAGGCACATACTGCTATGCAAAAATTTTAAAAAGTTGTTGAATAGTTAACTGAAAAAGATAGCTTATCTTTCCCTTTATTCTCCTACTGCACATCCCACTGAGCTTTCTCTGTTAACACTTTCTTACTTTACCCCTCTCATTAAGCTAGTTGTCACATAACCTAGTCCCCCTCCATTTTCTTCCAGGCTGGGAATGGAACATTTAACAGGGCAAAGCTACTGAATGTTGGGGTGCGGGAGGCCCTGCGTGACGAAGAATGGGACTGCCTGTTTTTACATGATGTGGACCTCCTGCCAGAAAATGACCATAATCTCTATGTGTGTGACCCCCGGGGACCCCGCCATGTTGCTGTTGCCATGAACAAGTTTGGATACAGGTAGAGGGCAGGGAAGGGTCCTGGGAAGCTGGGAAATTAACCATCTTGTGGAAGGGCAGCCAAGGGGCTTGTGGGTAGGGATGTCTCTCCAAAGGACTTGTGGAATACAAGGATCTTTCTCTCCCTAGCCTCCCATATCCCCAGTACTTCGGAGGAGTCTCAGCGCTCACTCCTGACCAGTACCTGAAGATGAATGGCTTCCCCAATGAATATTGGGGCTGGGGTGGTGAGGATGATGACATTGCTACCAGGTTAGACTTCCTGATACCACCTCCCTTCCCATCCCAGCCTTTAAGACCACCCCTGGCCATAGCCTCCCAATGCTAACCTTTAGCTCTCTGGTCCTATACTGAGTGTGTTCCTTTCTTTTAGTCTTTTCAGTCTACCCAAGTCAGCTTTGCATGCTGCTGTGCATTCTGTCATCTTTCTATTTTCTATAAGCGGTTAGTTATATTCCTAGGAGAGCAGATAAGATCAATAGGAAATACTGTCATGGGATTCCAGAGCTGGAAAGGGGCCTACAGACAGTTTAGTTCTGCCTTCTGCTGGGCTTGCATCCAGACCACTTCCTGTGGACATGGGAGAGCAAGGATGTGCTCCATGGGGTCTAGAATCACTTAGGAAAGGAAAAAAGCCCTGTGCTATTTGGCATGGAGCTAACTCATTTTTTCAGCATGTGAAACATTTTGACCTCCAGCCTCAGCTGACCCAGTTTAATATCTGGTGTGAATATTCGGGCTCAGTGTGCTGCACCCATTCCTCCCCTCCCCCTTGTGTCCTCTGGGGTGACATTTACCTGAATTCTCATCCTGTGTGTGTGCGCACGCAAATCACCCAGCAAATCTGAAATGTCCATATTCTCCTAGTTCCTTCCCAGGGCATCTTCACTTCTTGCTTCTGTGTGTGAGAACTGAGATCTGATTACCTGTTTCTACTCCTTTCATAACACACAGAGGCAGGGGAAAGCAGTGGAGGGGCAGCTTAGCTACTACTCCAAGGAAGAATTGCTGGGCTAGGGTAGTCTAGTGATAGAGCATGTGTTTAGCATGCACAAAGTCCTGAGTTAGATCCCTAGCATGTGTGCACATGCGTGCACACACACACACACACACACACACACACACACACACAGTTGAGTTTAGGTTCTTAAGTGTTTTAAGACTCTTTCGACAAAGTAGCCCCTCTCCTTGTCCCTCCCACACTGCAGGGTAGTTCCTGGAGGCCATCCAGGAAGCAACCCACCTGTGCCAATTGCTTAAAGGCCCAGGGCGCTATCTGGCACTGGGCTGTATGGATTTTTTTGCAGAACCAGGAATTGAACTCAAGCCCTTGCACTTGCCAGGCAAGCGCTTATTCTACTGAGCCATCTCCCCGGCCCTGGGCTCTATGGATTTGGATGCATCCAGCTTTTATATCCTCTTCAGCCTTCTATTTGACTTTCCCTGTCCTTCTTGAACTCGCTGCTTTTTCTCCCTCACTGGTAGTGATTGTGCTTTGTGCACAGAAGTGTGCAGCCCTTCCTTGCCGGCCTTTATGTGTGCTGCTGCCAGCAGCCTTCCTACGCTGTGCTCTCTATGACCCTCTCCCTTTGCCCATAGGGTGCGCCTGGCTGGGATGAAGATCTCAAGGCCCCCTACATCTGTGGGCCACTATAAGATGATAAAGCACCGAGTCGACAAGGGCAATGAGGAAAATCCCCACAGGTAAGAGGGAGAACTGCTTGGCAATCGTGACTGGATTCTCAGGGCTCTGTATCCCAGGCCAGGGAACCTCCAAGGGTCCCTAGATTCTTCACTGTTCCTTCTCTATCTTAGTGTCCAACTTTTCACCCTCAGATTTGACCTCCTGGTCCGTACCCAGAATTCCTGGACACAAGATGGAATGAACTCACTGACATACCGATTGCTGGCTCGAGAGCTGGGTCCTCTCTATACCAATGTCACAGCTGATATTGGGACTGACCCTCGGGGTCCCCGGGCTCCCTCTGGTCCCCGTTACCCACCTGGTTCTTCCCAGGCCTTCCGTCAAGAGATGCTGCAGCGCCGGCCCCCAGCTAGGCCTGGTGTTCTGCCTACTGCCAACCACACAGCCCACCGTGGTTCACACTGACTTCTTCTTGCCCACCTTAATCATGGAACTGAATAAGAGGGTTGTGTCCTCCCCACCCTCAGCTCCTCATGCTTAGAGGGTTGTAGGGAAACTGAACTTCAGTGGTATGCTGGGGGGCAGGGGCCTCTCCGCACTGCTGGACTGGAGCTGGGCTCCTCTAGACCTGGGAGATCACTCTTTCTAGGGTCACCTGCCAGGCCTTATGAATGTGAATCTTTGACGTCATGATTTTATGTGATGGTTCCTGGGAGTTCCCTGCCCCTGGGGTAGGAGCAGGGCTGGACCCCAAGCCCCTTCCTCTTCTGTGGAGATCACTCCCTTCCAAGATTAATCTGGCTTGTCCTGGGACCTCTGTGAATATTTATTCTATTTATGGCTCCCAGGAAGCTGTTTGGTGAAGGAAACCCTTCCCTGGGTACTTTCTGCCAGTGCTGGAGTAGCTCCCTTTTCTGGTCCAGGCTCAGGGGGCTGGGATTTTGATATATTTTCTAATAAAGGACTTTGTCTCGCCTTTGCTCCTGCTTTCTGCATCCTAGGCACACTTTGTCCCCCTCCTCCCAGGTGACAGAATGGCTAGGCCAAGTTAAGCACCACCAACTTTTATTTTCATGAGTGGGAGCTGGGGATCAGCTGTTGGATCCTGTGCCCAGGACGCTGGCTGCTGCCTGGCGCCCACTCTCTATACAATCATTGACAGCAACCCCATTGTAGGAGGCACCAGCCAGAGTCAGGGGCAACCTCTGGGCAGCCAAGAACTGCATCGCCGACTCTGGAGGGAAACAATGAAAGGAGTATCACCGCTGGGCTCTCTGTTTCCCAGCCCTCCCCAGCCCAGCTGCTTTCCAAGCTTACCCAGTCTTTGCCAGTGACCTAGTGTATACTGGGGGATGCAGTTCTGGGGAGATAGGAGGGGAAGGTCAAAAAAAGTTTATTACTGGTTTTCCAAGTTACAGCTGACGTATATAGACGAATATGTTATCAGTCGATACTTTCAAGGCCTACCGTGGGAGCTTATGGCTTTGGCCCCAACTCACCTTGTGTAGATGGACCAAGCAGTGACTTGGTTGCTCCTTCAGTCCTAACTGTGTGGCAACTGCTTCCTGTGCCTGCTGTAGGAACAGCTCTTGCGATAAGGCACGGCCCCTAGCTTCCAGTATGTGTAACCAGGAACCTCCCAGCATCACCTAGGGAAAGAATACAGCACTGACCAGTCTGGTCTTGCTTATGCTGGAATGCAGAAGACCTTTGGAAAGCCCACTGAACAAAGCTGTCCCCTCTCACAGTCACTCTGAGGCCGGGGATGCTCCCATCCTGCTCAGGAAAAGCAATGGAGTCATACACGATTCCCAGAACGACTGGGTCCTCAGAGGATGGCACCAAATGTCCAAATCCCTGGAGAGGAAGAAATCGCTAAGATTAGGAGGGAAGGGCTCCGGCTGAGCCTGTGTCTCCCCTCTTCCTCTTTATCTACCTGGACAGGCGGATGAGCTCCTCGGTACTGCAGGTTCACCACAGCTACAGACACGGCAGTGATGGTGCTCAGGACGTGAGCCAGGGGCTCTGCCTCAGCGGGGAGCAGCTTACTGAGCTCTGGAGATGAGGCAGAGGCCGGTTCACACCACAATTACATCAGCTGTCTTTGGGATCAGACTCTCAGTAGAGGTGGCTGGGTTAGGGGCTGCATAGGGTGTGGTTCTGCTGGCCCAAGAAGGTACAGCTATTCCCTTTATGCTTGCTAGGCAACGAGAGAGTCTGCACCCTTACCTGAAGCTGGAATGGCACTAATAATGTGGTCAGCCTCCAGACTGCTGTCCCCTAGAGAGACCTGAGAAGATGAAAACATTTGAGAGACACAGTGAACACAGTGATAATGAATTTCAGGGCAGGGTAAGACTTTCGTTGCCTCATTTTCAAGTATCCCAGCACTCCAGTGGCAGGCAAGGCTGGGTGCTGATCCAGGATGCAGACACTGAATGCCTGTCATCCTCACAGAGATCACTGCTCTATATGTTCTGGGAAATGGGCCAGGTGCCAGTGTGGCCACTCTGAAGTGTTCAGTGAAGCTCGACTGTCCTTTCTCCATCCCCAAGCCACTTACAAGCACTACTGCTATCCACAGATGTGCATCAAAGGAGACTTTGAGGAAGGCCCACAAAAAGGCCTAACAACCTGGAGTAACCTTTGTCCACACAGCTTTTAAGGCAAACAATGTGTAACTCTAGCTCTGTCACCCCTGGCCTAGTTGATCCTCTTAGACAAAGATAAAAACATGGACAGAAGTCCATTATATGGGGCGGGGGAGATGGCTCAGTGGAATAGGCGCTTCCCTGGCAAGCATAGGAACCTGAGTTCAATCCCAAAAAAAAAAAAAAAAAAAAAAAAAAAAGTCCAGGGGTTCCCCTACCTTCCAGTGCCCTTCTGCCTGGAGGCTGAGCCCACAGACCGGCTGGCCTCTGAGAACATGGACCCCCCTAGTAGTCAGGTGGCTGTCAAGGGCCTGGGGCAACATCTCCAGTCCTCCACGGAGTGACCACTGGCTCCAGCGCTCAGCCCGGGCCTGGCGAATAAGTGCTGCAGCTGGTTGTGGCCTCCGCCCTGCAGCAAAAGAAGCAAAACGATTACCAAACTAGCACTTCTTGTACCTATCCCTCACTTTGGCAGTCCTTAATATCTCTTTAAGCAGTCCTTAATATCCCTTTGACCCAAGCCCCCCTCACCTGTCCCCAGCAGCAGCCCCAGGATTACAGAACGATGACTTTGCTCAGCTTGGAAGAGACTGGGAAAGCAAGACCTGACGCTGAGCTCACGGCTGTTGCCTGCAAATACTCCACGGCAGAGGCTGTCCATGGCTAGAGAGGCCACCTTAAGGGTGAGACTGGGAATGAGAGGCCAAGGAATAAGCTGCACTGATTGGCTTCTTTCACCCTTAGTTGGTGGGGAGTGGAGTGGGGAAAGGGTGAACTGGGTGGCATTCCGACTGTCACAGAAGGATGGGCAAGAAGTGAAGGATTTCATTCCTAACACTTGAGTTTGGGAGATTACCAGAGTAGTACAAGGGCATCCCTAGGTGATACAAGAGAGTCCCTGGGGATAAGTCTGAGCAGCAAGGTCAGCAGCTGGGTTGAGAAGGGAGGGGCCTGAGGCCTCTGAACAGTGTCACCTCAGGTCCAAGGCGGCGCTGGGCAAAACTGTGCACCGTCTCATCAGGCTCTTTTCCCCGAGGTTTGGTCAAGTCTCTCAGTCCAGCCCAAAACAGAGGTTTGGAGAAGGGGGGTGAAGGGCGGAGTAGCCCCCTGCATGGAAGAAGGTACAGTAAAGAGGGAAGGCCTGGTTTACCCTCTCAGCTCCACCAAACCATTTCCATTCATTTGGGCCCCTTTTGCTGAAAGAAGCGACAGACAGGGATAACGAACTGGAAGGATGTGAGGAAGAGGCCAGAAGGGAAGGGCGTGCAGTAAGGGAGAGGCCCTTACCTGAGGCCAGTGGGTAGGAGATGTAGTGCACCGCCCACATACAGGAATCTGTTCTGGGCAGCCGGATGGTCTCCTCGGACAGGCAGCACTTCTGAGTCCAAGCCAAGCTCAGAAACCTGCTCTCCACACCCCCTCAGAGAGAGCAGAAATTAGAAGGGGCTGACCCACCAAGTGTATTTCCTCCCCTCAGCTCTGTCCCCTCTGCCATCTCTCTTCCACAAGCCTCTCACCAGGAGCAAGGTTTGAGCTCCCAGTACTCCGGCTGGTCGAATTCCCCGAGGCCCAAGCTCAAAGACCGCACCATCTGGCCCTCGAATTGAGCGGATCCAGCCTCCCAGACGATTGCTACCCTCCACTAGGACCACCTGGAAACAAGTAGGAGATAATGCAGCACCATGGGGCGGGGGATGGGGGCCTCATCCCAGGGCCAGGATCCATCTAACTTTCCCTGGAAATGTAAGAGTATTAACACTCATTGCCTCCGACGTAGGTGGGGTACTCACCTTAGGAGGGCAGGAGGCTCGGCTCAGATAGTAACTGGCAGCCAAGCCGCTGATGCCTCCACCCAGCACGACCACGGTACGGCCCATTGGGAAGCCTGGGGAAAGGGGGCAAGATTGACTGGTAGACCTCAAGGAACTTCTGCAACGAAGGCCTCGCGGTTCCGCCTTCCACCCTAGGCCACTTAATGATTAGAGTCGCCCCACGTGAGTGAATGGGCGGGTGGAACGGCGATGTTTTTGCCTAGGTGCCGGGACTCTCCTACCAGATAGCTAGAAGCAAGAGAAAATGAGGGATCGAAGAGGTAGAAGTGCAAAGTCTTCCCCAAAGACTTGTGTTCAGATAAGGGCCACACCCACGTTATCTGCTCTTGCAGGCCTCGGCCAGCAGGTTGGAGACCTGAGTCTTGAGGGGCTCTGCATCCGCATCTCAACCGGTTAATTAAGCACTGTACTTCTGGCAGGCTACCCCCGCCCCCAACCTTTTCGGACCCTCCGACCCTCCGTCCACTCTATTGGCGGCGCGAGTCTGAGTTCCTCTTTTCTCCTTCTGGATTGGTGATTTCTGGCTCATGTCCACCAATGAGAGCACTGAACTGGCAATGACGCCACGAGACGGGGCGACGGTAGCCGTGGGAGGTAAGAGTCGGATCTGTGAGCCCGGAGGTTAACCCGTTCGGTGCTGCGTCTTAGCGAGTACTGCCACCGCCCTCCTCCGGGGCAAGAGGGCGAGGCGAGTTCGGAGTTAGCATTCCCCCGCTCAGGCTTCCCAGGCGCAGTTTGGGTGAGAGCCCTGGAGGGAAGGCCCCATGAGCTTTGGTGTTGGGAAAGGCACACAGGCACGCTAGGAGAGTCCGCCGGGAGGCTGCTCCATAAACAGCTCCTTGATGTTAGCAACAGACCGGGCCTACGGGAGCTAGGGCCGCCCGGCAACGTATTCAGTGTTTGTCAACAGGGGTTTCGGATGCTTCGCCCTCGAGGGGCAGCCCCCAAGTTCGGCAGCCCCCGCCGCCCTAGTTGCAGGCCTCCCAGCAGCGTCTCCTTCCCATACCAAGTCTTCAACTGCTCGGTGCACGCGTCCGTCCCTCCCCACTCCGTCCCGAGCGCGCCCCCACCTGCTCAGAGGCAGAACTGGGTCCCCAGAGTACCCCTTGAACTGTTTCGTTATCCCCACCCCCGTGAGCACCAACACAAATAAGAGCATCACTTTTTCTTATTAAATTTATTCACAAAAAGTGAGATTTCAGAGGGTTTGGGGGCTGTACATGGTCAAGGGCCTGGTGAGCTCTGTACACGGGGCTGGGAGACAAGGGAGCCTCCAGGTAGAAGTGTAATTTTTAATAAAAAAAATAATGGGAGCTACAGCCACCCCCTCCCCCCTCCCCGATTAAAAAGACACAAAAATAGACGTCTCTGAGGTAAATGGGGAGACTGGGGGTTTAAGGGTGTTGGAAAGGGTTTTCAGGTGCCAGGGCTTAAAGTGGGTGTCACAGGCACCGGGATGACTCCTGCATTAGTTGGTAGAACAGCACGTAGCCCTCACTGGATGCCACCTGATTTTCACTGACAGGGGAGACACTAGGGAGAAGGGAGATGGGGAAGGGGTTGTAGTCGTTACTGTATATTCCCTCCCCACAAGACAAGATCAGGGTGCTCCAGAAGAGGTAAGGAGAGAGGAGAGACACCACCCCCCCCCCAACCTTTTAGCAAGCACTCTCCTTCCTGGGGTTTCACAGAAAGGGAGTGTTTTAGGGCTGCAGTGGGAATAGGAAAGGAGTTGAATAGGAGGCTGTTCTCACCGAGAGTCATTGTAGACATGCCAACCAGTCTGGCACCGGCACAGGGCTGTGTAGTGGCCGTAGTGGACACTGCCCGAGTGGTTGCAAAGGGCATACAGCTGGTATACGGGGCTTCCTGTGGGGTTAGAGATGATCGCTCTACCCACACAGCTGTGGCCCTTCCTGAGGCAATTTAGGACCCTCACTACCACACTCACCAGCTTTGTCACTGGCAAAATCCCCGAGGCTCAGTCGCTGCAATGGGAAGTCTACCCCTACTGAACTTTTCTTGATGGATCCTCGAGAGGTGGAAAATCGATTCAGATCTAAGTGCTAGTTAAGGAGCATTTAGGAGGGCGTCTCAGAGGGACTGCAGTTCTAAATGTCCACTCCCTTCCCCCAACACATACTGGGAAATGGTAAGGAAAAAGGTGGGCAGATATTCTTTTTCCAAAGGAAAACTCAATTCCCAAACCTCTGCAAACAAGGAGGCTGAGGAAAGCAAATGTATAGGAGACGGCTTAAGAGAAATAAGAATTAAGGATTAGGATATGGAGCACGAGGATTCGAGGGAATCTTTGTACTGTCAACTTTTTGGTACTTCGTGTTTTCTGCCGACATCGATCACACACCTGAACAAATGGCAGACAGTGTTAAGTTAGTGTGCTGTTACCTCAGGTGGCTTTTCTGACACTCCAGTCCACATTCAAATTTAGTGTACTCCCCATTATTTCTGTATCCTCTGAATCACAACCTTTTGGCCCTATGAGTAACAGGACATACCTGACATAAACCGAGAGATACAATTATTATTGTGCATTCAGTGGCAACATGCATCCCTTTTTATCTATATGCGGCACCCCCATCTCCCACCCTTACATATTCCTTATGAACCTCCACATACTGGGGCGTTCTCCGATTCTAGCTCTTCTTCCTTGGTGAAAAGGCTGAAACAATCTCGCAGAGATACCTTGCCCCCAGCAAATCCTTTCTGGGGGGGGAAGAGGAAGTAAGAGTCAGCACGTTCTTAATTTCCCTTTCCAATTCTTAATCAATCCAGGCTTCAGTTCTGCTCTACAGATCCACAAGGTTCCCACCCACACTCTGGGGGTAGGTAGGGTTGGGTCACAGAATCAGTGTTCCATTCACCCCTAAAATCCTCTGGAATCCCACCTTGGGGATGGGCAGGGACAGGTCACAAAAAACCTCGAAGGTCGTGGAGCGATACCCACAGGCTTGGCACTTGAGACAGCTTTTCAACTGGCCCACAAACAGATCTAGACAGAAGCAAAAAGGCAAGAGACAGGTCGCTGCTGGATGCTTGAGACACTTTCCTTCTTTTTTCCTATCTTTTCCCACCTCTTACTAACACTTCTGACCACTCCTGACACCATCTCACATCACCAGCTGGTCTTGTTCCCACACCCCTTGACAGCATCCATTTTTCTCCCTCAAGCCCCCCTCTCCACCCCAACTTTTTCCCCCTGCTTTGTCCCATTCCATACCCACAATCTTGCTGTCCTCTCTCTCCAGGTAACGCTTCCACATTAGGTTGGCTCGGTCATCATCACTACCACAGATCAAGGGAAGTGGGGAGGGTACCCATGAGACAGCAGAAACACTGGGTACCCCCAACACTGCTGACGTGATCCACAGAGCGCTGCCCACCACCCATGACCCAGTTCCCTAAACTTCAATGTTATTTTGTGTGTTTGATTGTTTTTGTTTTTCCATTTTTGAGACAGGGTCTTGCTATATGTAGTCCGGGCTGGCCTCAAACTGACCATGTAGCTCACACTGGCCTTGAACTTACAGGGATCCTCCTGCCTCTGCCTTGTGAACACTAGGATGACAGGTGTGTGTCACCATGCCCAGCATCCTTCCCTAAATTTCTGGTTAAATGAGTAATGCTTTGGAGAACTTTACAGAATACAAAATAAGAGGACAAGAAAAGATGTACACAAGAGAAGAACATGCTATCTTCCTCCACCTGGCGTCAAGCATTTTGCATGTACTTTGCTGTAAATTAATTATCCCCTCCTTCCTCAATTTGGTAACATATCTAGCACTATCTTCTGTCTCCATCTGCATCTATCAGCCTCTCTCCTCCCCCTCCTTCCTTCCTTCTACTTCTACACTGGTTCGCAAAGCATTTTTATGCTAATGGAGTTCCTCCAATTTTAACTAGCTCAGCTCCGGGAAAGATGAATGTGGACACTGACTACTGTGGAGAGGAGGGAGGGGAAGCAACCTTTACCTTAATTCAGGTTCTTCTAGCAGAGCCCCTCCTCGGCGGGGTGGAGAGGGAACTACTGGACCATTGGCCAGGATAGGCGGCGCCCTGCGACCTCGTCGGTTCACTTCGAGGTGTAGCCGCTCCATCAGGAGCTTCAGGAACTCTTGGGCATCCTGCTGGCTACAGCCAGACAGAGAAGATGAGCAGCTGACCCCCTCCTAGTCCTCTGCCCAGATACGGACCCCTGCATCCTCGACGGAGAGCACATCATGGCTCAGAACAGTGCTGCAGGAGTCCCAGCTTGGCCTACCCCGAGATATGGCCAGTGAGAAATCTTATACCCCCCCAGCTCTCCTACCTGTATCCAGAGAAAGAGGGAACATATTTCTGGAAGACAGCCCGGAACCGAGTAGGATTCACAGCTTCACAGGAGTCAGGGTGCCAGAGGGCACCAATCACATCTGCAAAGGCTGTTGGGGTGGGAGTGAGGAAGGGAAACAGAAAGTAAATGTCTCAAAGAGGCAAGCAGGAGGAAGCTCAGAGGGTACAAAAACAATTCCTAGGAAAGTAAGCACAGGGAAAGTGGATAGAACTATCAGATCAAAGGGCTGGGGGGGCTGGTGAGATGGCTCGGTGGTCTAAAGCACCTACTTGGAACAAACTAAAAGCACAAGGACCACTGTTCAATCCCCCAGCACCACATGCCAGCCAGCCCCGCCCCCTGGTGGGCTGAGCTGGCCACACACACACACACACACAAATAAAATAAATAAATAAATAAATAAATAAAATAAAATTAAAAAAAAAAAAAAAAACAACAAAGGGCTGGGGTAAAAATTAATAAATAAAGGGCTGGGGACCATAAGCACTGGCAGACAGACCTGCAAGGGGCTTGGACAAAAGGGAACAGCAGTTGTTAACTGACCTTCAGTGAGCTCTTGGGCTCGGCCCCCTCCAGGCACCTCTTGCCGGTAGTCCCTTCGAAGACAGAAGTCCCGAAGAGGCCGAGTACTGCTCAAACACTGTAGCACTGCGTTCAGGAAGCACTGGGGAGCAGCAGGGACACTGCTGTTATCTCTCCAGACCAATGCCCAGCAGCCTTAGGAGAGCTTTAGTGCTCTTTTTATATATCTTTCCCAAGTCTGCAGGGTCTCCCCACCCCCAGCACCATTTCACATCTGTTTAGAGAGGAAGGACAGGAGAATGGCTCTTACTGTATTTCCCAGATTTCGGAGGCCAACATGACCAGAGCCCAGAAGCAATGTGTGATGAGCCTGGAAGGTCAGAGTATGGTCAGTACGTCCCATGCATCCTACCTGAAATCTTTCAACAGCATGCTGCCCACTGCCTCCCCCAGCCCATTCATGCCCAACCTCTACCCTCTTTCCTTCTCTGGTCTCCCTACCTCACTGTTCATGAGCAGTAAGCCCATCACAGCTGAGTGCACCACCGACTCAGCCATGGCTGTTCCACCTATCCCCCACTTACTCCTGTGCCAAGCTAGGCGGCGCTGCAGCTCCTGGGGCAACTCCCCAAGCACTGGCATGGTTGCCCAGCTGCTCCCCACTCCCACCTTGCTGCCCCCAAAGCCTCCTCCTGCCCCCGTGGCCCTTTCTTGCACCCTCTCCTCTGGCTCTAACTGTAGTCAGGCTAGCTCACTTAGCTCGGGAAATGGGCAACCACATTAGCTCAGATGTGCTGATCCTGCCCCTTTTCAGCTCCAGAGATTAATTAGGCCTAGACAGAGTCCTAGGAGAGAAGGTGCAGTAAGGAAAAGAAAGGGCCTGGGGACTCAGAAGAATTCTAAATAGTTGGGTTAATTCCCTGGGGACTGAAAAGGCACACAATGCTTTGGAGTCACAGACAACCCAGAAAAGGGTCTAAAAGGCTCCCAAAATGAGATGAATGAGTAATGAGTCCTTGGACTGAGAAAGGAATTTTGGGGAAAAGGAGACAAAAGAGCCAACTGACAGCAAGAAAGCTGGAGATACAGAGGAGCATGAGGCTGGAAGGCCACGTGTGCTGCAAGTCCTTACCATCTTGTCATCAGAGTAGAAAGGCTCCGAGGGCCGGGCAGATATCACATGGAAGGAGCCATGGGAAGTAGGAGGCTCTGTCCGTATGCTGAGCAGGGTGGGGGGTCCAGGAAATCCCCCAAGACGGCGGAGAGAAGTGCTGCGTCTCAAAGCAGGTGGCTCAGGCCGGAGGGCCAAGCGGCTCAGGGCAGCCCCTAGCTCTCCAGCACCACGGTGCCCTCCCAAGGCAATTCCCATTGGGCGCAAGTCCCCGCTGCTCACAGACTTGGAACGCGCTAAGTTGGTCCGGGATGGGAGAGGCAGAGCCACAGTTGGTGGTGGTGAGCCAGGTAGAGGAACCCCATGATCTGCCCGAAGGGGGCCTCTGGAACGAGGGCCTGAGGTCCGTCCCCGTGCAAGCTCCAGTTTCTTGAGCCGTTCATCTGGGGGACCTGGCCGGGGAGGCAGAGGTCGTAACATGGGGTTTGACCCAGGAGCTGGGTTGCGGCGCTCCTTGCTGCGGGCTCGGGGGGCAAATGGTAGCTTAGACCCCACTCGGGGCTGCACATTAACAGGTGGCTCTCGAGTCCGGCCCAGGCGGTACTCAGAAGCCTGGGGCATTGTGGACACCACAAGCTGCGCCTGAGAGGAGAAGAGAGAGTCAACATTTGAGTTACAGAGGAATGTGAGAACTTAGTCTTCCATACCACATTCTCTGTGCTCTGAAGACAAGAATCAGGTCTATCAGATCAGTCATTGTCACCCTAGTACTTAGCATGTACTTAGCATTTTATTTGATGCAAAGACAATACTTAGTATCACTCAAGTAAACAACTGACTAAATGACTAAGCAGCTCATGACTTTGACCCTTTCTGTATCCCACCTCCTCCTTGCAGAATACAGCTCTACTGGAAAGCCTTTCACAGTCACACTCTGAATTGTCTTTACATTCCATAGACTCATGACAAGAGCCCTCCTCACCCCTAGCTAGTTAAGTGGGATGTGCCATGAACCTTGCATCAAATGGGAGTGTGGATACAAGGATAACAACCCAAAAGACAGCCATTCCATCTTCGAACCCACTAGGTTGCAGATGAAGCAGATTGAATGGGTGATTGCAACCCATTCCCTCCCCCACCTCCAAGCTCCGACGTGGATTGGGACTCAGGGGGCAACAGGCTGGCGGATATACAACTCCCAGACCCCTAATCTCTGCACCCCTCCCACCACAGCAGCGCTGTACCCGGGTCCGCCCCCCTCGAGGGCAGAAAGGCCGAGGCCGCTGATTGGCTACAGGGTCCGGCAGCGCATTCCCCGCAGTCCCGGTATGCTGTCCCTCTAGCCCAGATCTCCCAGGCCCGCACTGGGTCCCCACGAGCCTCTCCGCCTTTGTGGAGGATGTCCTCTGGGGTCTGGAGTTAGCGTCCCTTGGCTCCCCGCCCCCCCCCACCCCACCACGATGCCCCGGCCGTACCTGTCCCCCGTTGAGGCAGAGGGGGAGGCCAGCCGGGGCCAGGCTCCAGCTCAAGGCCACCCCCTCCTACCCCCGTGCAGCCCCCGTGCAGCGGGCCAGGCTGCAGCTTTAATCGCAGTTGGTGCCCAGGTCGCTCCCACCGCAAGGGCCGCCGCCATCTTTGTTGGTCCCGCCCGGCCACCGGCCACCGGCCTCACCGTCTCGCAACGCGCCTGCGCGCCCACATCCCGCTACCTCCACCCGCCTCCTCGGCGCTTGCGTGAGCCCGCCCCCACGGCTCCAGGGCCGACACCATGGAAACGAAGCCAACTTTAGAACCGCTAGTTCCCAGCCTGGGCCACAGTGGTCTTTAAACCGTTGATCCAAAGCGAGTTACTCCAAAGCGAGTCTACCCTCCAGTCACCCATGCTGGGGTACACGGCGATGAGACGGTCGAAAAAATGGTTACGACGCTTGCAGCACAGATTCCTCCCCGTCAGGCTGGGTGCCAGTGTGGCAAGCTGCAGACCTGGGTCCAGCCTGCAGAGCAGTGAAGAAGCATCTAGCATTCTGCATTTGGATGAGAAGATCCTAGAAGGCTGGGAATGCTGGATCTGTAAAACATTCCTTAAGTTCCTTGCAGGCTTAAGCAACAGTAAACACGGTTCACTGCTGAAGGCAGATCTCAGCAGCAGGGAGAGCAAATCTCTCATGCCCTAGCTCCTGCTGAGGACATCTTTCATTTCCCCTTCTCTAGAGCCTCCACTTTTTGCCTGCTCATCCTGTTAAAAGCCACCAATGTAGTCAAGAGTAGTGGCACACTCTTGTAATCTTATCACTTGAGAGGCTGAGGCAGGAGAATCACTACAAGTTTGAGGCCAGCCCGGAGTTATACAGTGAGTTCAAAGTTAGGGCTGGTGAGATGGCTCAGTGGTCTAAAGCACCTAATTAGAACAAGCTTAGCAAAGCACAGGGACCGCGGTTCAATCCTCCAGCACCACATGCCGGCCGGCCCCGCCCCCTGGTGGGCTGAGCTGGCCACAAACACACACAAATAAAATTTTTTTTTAAAAGTTAGCCTGATTTCTTGAAACTGTACTTTCGATTTGATTTGAAACTGTCTCATTGCTATATGTTTATCAATAAAACTTTGAAAAGAAAAAAAAATAAAAAATAAAAAGCCTGAAATACACAAGAGATCTTGTCTCAAAAAACAAAAATGAAACAACAACAAAAGTCACCAATGAAAACCACAGGCTACCACAGGAAGCAGTTTTTATTGATGGATTATTTCCAGAAACCAAAAAGGGTATGTACTCATTTTCAGTTTCCCCCTTTGTCTCCAGGAACAAGGCTTCCATTGTTCTATTTGGGGAGAGGATATAAATCACCTCTTGGTCTCCCAAAGTCCAAGTCTTTCTTCTGTCTGTACAGAAACTGGCATTACTGACTGTGTCGCTGTCGCCCCCCCCCCCCCCTGATGCCCAAGGCAGCTATTTGGTAACAACCGGAGGTGGTGGGTGTAGGGGGAAGCCATCAGATAAATGAGAAGAACGATGCACAAGAAAACAGGCACATGACCTATTAGAGGTCCCTCTATCCTGTCTCAGTCCTTTGAGCCTTCATTGCTTGCATTTCTCTTTGTGCTGGATCACACCTTTCTGAATCAGATCAGGAATTTCCACTGCCAGCCAGGGACCCAGCTGCAATGCAAGGGAGACCCCATGAGACTCCTATCACCAAGTCAATGCCCCTTGTTCTGTTGGTTCTATTGATTCTGTTGGTTCCAGAAGGGATTGTAGGAAACACACTAAAGGACAACACTATTACTGCATCTCTTGTTCACTCTCAGGTACTTATACCGCTCAGCCCCACTCCCAATCCAACTTACCAAATATATGAAACTTACCCCCAGGGCCATAAGATGAGCTAGTCCAAACTTGGGCACATTCCTGGCCCACAGAGGTTTGAAGTGATCAGTCAGGCATATTTTGCCACCCCTATGAGAGGGACAAGAGGGTGCTGGCATGCAAAGTTTACCACGCAGCATGGCAGCCTCTGGGGGCACAAATGACTGCCACTGTTCAGAATAAAGAACAAAGTTAAGTACTTTGCCCAGGCTTGGGGAGGGAGGTCTAGAGCCCTCTAGGCCAGCAGATGCTGCAAAAAATCTGCCTCTCGACTTCTTCACTTAGGGCTTCTTTTCCTCTCCTGTGAAGGCCTACCTGTACATCTTTGCTGTCTTCCCATCCAGCTCAGGGACTGCAATCTCTGGAGCAGTAGTAGGATATGTGATTGGAATCTGAAAGAATTATAAAGACTTAATGAAACAGAGAATTGAGATAGGAACTAATCTAATCAAACATACTTGGTTGAAAATGTTCAGCAAACTCAAGTGGCATGTACATACCAGGATTCTGGATATGAAAATTATAACTGTAATTTGTTTCAAAACTTAACTTTCCCCTCCCAATTTTCAAGGGTTTTTTTTGGTGTTTTGTTTTTGTTGTCTGAGACAGGGTTTTGCTATGTAGTGCAAGTTTGTCTTGAACTCTTTTTTTTTTTTTTTTGCAGTACCGCGGACTGAACTCAGAACCTTGTGCTTGCCAGGCAAGCACTTATTCTACTGAGCTGTCTCTCCAGCCTGTTGAACTCATTTTGTAGCCCAGGCTGGTCTCAAATTTGTGGTGATCCTCCTGCATCAACATCCCAAGTGCTGGGATTACAGGCATGCACCAATATCCTCAGCTTCTTTGGTCCTTTCAAGCAAGGTTAGCCCAACCAGGTGTAGTTGGTTCATGCCTATAATCCCAGTGTTCTGGGAAGCTGAGGAAGAATTGCAAGTTCAATCTCAAACTGAGCAATTTAGCAAGACCCTGTCCCCCAAAACCAAAAAGGGTCACAGAGGTAGCTCATTGTAAAGATCCTGAGGTCAATCCCCAGTACCACACACACACATAAAAGCTGGCTTATAACAAGCACCTAATCTTTCCTCTTCTACTAACCTTCATATGTCCCACTCCAACACACTCACGTCAAACTCGATGTCAAACTCGTATTTGAGGAGGTCATGGATGTACCAGCATTTCCCGAACCACCTATAATAAAGACTCAAACTCAGTCCAACTGTCCATTCCTCTCATATGCAATGACTTAGGTCACCTATGTAGGAGACTCCTGGGATAGGAACTGGGGAACTCTGGAGTATGGAAGTAAAGACAGCTAACATGGTAGCTCTGATAGTGGGCTTTGGGATGTCAAACTATTTAAACCAAGAGTCCCACCCTATACTTCCCAAGATGGTCTGCTTACCGGGTCCCTTCCTTGTTAGATTCCAGACGGAACCAATCATTGTCTGCATTCTTGTTATTCTCCACATACTAAAAGGACAGAAGAAATCTTTGACAGGGTGTTAAGGCCATGGGCTGCCCCTTTCCCCTCAAAAGAAAAGTGTGGGGGCCAGGGAGATGGCTCAGTGGAATAAGCGCTTCCCTGGACAGCGCAAGGGCCTGAATTCAATCCCCAGTTCTGCCCCCCCCCAAAAAAAAAGTGTGATTATTTTGTCCTTCAGCATATTTACCCTACTTTTCTGACATTAGAAAAGCTGAAGACAAGGCTATACTGGTAAATTGGGGGCTTGCCCAGAGAAAAGAATAGAATGCTTGGGTTCTATCCTATTTAGCAGGCACAAAAGATTTGGTGTTACCTTCTATCATCTTTTCCTACTTTTGATAAAAGTCTAACCCCAAGGGCCGGTTAGATAGCTCAGCAGATTAAAGTGCCTGCTAAGGCAGACGCAGGGGTTGGAAGTTCTGGAAGGCTGATCCTCATCAGCTTGCTGTGCCGGCCCGCCACCGGGGCGTGCTGAGAGCAATTGAGACTGAGTGTGGTGGCATGCCTGTAATCCCAGCACTTGGGAGGCTGAAAATAAGAGAATCACTACAAGTCTGATCTGTGTAGTGAGACCCTGTAGACTCTGCACTAAATTAAAAAAAAAAAAAAGTCTACCGCAGCCAACTCCATGATATACTCTGTCCCTGGATGACCTATTTCCAACTTTCTACTTTTACCCATGTACTGATGACTCCCAAAATCAGTTTTGTTTTTTGAGACAGGATCTTGCTATGTAGTTCAGGCTGGTTTTGAACTCATTGTGTAGCCCAGATCGGCCTTGAACCCACAGTGATCCTCCTGTCTCAGGCTCCCTAATGCTGGGATTACAGGTGTGCATCACCATACCTGCCTCCAGATCTTAATCTTTTATCCCGACTTTTCCTCAGAATGTCAGATTCCAGTATCCAATTAAGTATTATTTCATTGATACTTGAAGCTCATAGTGTCCAAGCTTGAATTTACTATTTCTTCAGACCTGTTTCTCTCCCTTCACTCCCAATGTTGGTGGCAGTGTTACCATTCACTTAATCACTCAAGCTAAAAACCCGGGAATCACCCTTGATTTCCCTATTCCTTCACTCCACTGATCCTTCACGATGTCCTACTGATGTTGTCTTCTGAATTTCTTCAAATCAGCCCTTCTTTTTAGCCTTACCACAACTGTCTAGTTTAGATCATCTTTTTTTTCACTTGAATTAATAACAGCCTAACTTGTCTCTGACCTTCAATTTTACTCCTGTCAATTATATTTTTCTTTCAAACTGACCATGTTACTACTCATTCTAAAATTGTTTAAAGGCATCTCAAAGCCTATAAAAATAAAACTCAAGGGCCAAGGAGATGGCTCAGTAGAATTTCAATCCCCAGTTCCGCCAAATAAATAAATAAATACTCAAGTGCTCTAGGGCCGGCAAGATAGCTCAGTGGACTAAGCGCGAGTTTAGGCAAGTAAGTGCAGGGACCAGAGTTTGATCTTCCACACCACATGCCTCTCTGGCCCAGCCCCTGGGCATGCTGAGCTCGCCACCAGGTCTGGGCATGGTGGTGCACAACTGTAATCCCAGTGCCAGGGAGGTTTAGAACAGGAAGATCACTATGAGTCCCAGCTGGTACTGAGACCCTGTACCAAATACATTTTAAAAAAAGAAAAAGAAAAAATATATATAAAACTCAAGTGCTCGGGCTGGTGAGATGGCTCAGTGGTCTAAAGCACCTACTTAGAACAAGCTGAGCAAAGCACAGGGACCGCAGTTCAATCCCCCAGCATCACATGCCAGCCAGCCCTGCCCCCAGGTGGGCTGAGCTGGCCACACACACACACACACACACACACAATAAATAAATTAAAAAATAAATTAAAAAATAAAATAAAAACTCAAGTGCTCAAACCTATCTCCCCAACCTTGTTCACCTCTCTTGTGTCTCATATTTGATGTAAACTACTTGCTTCTTTGTATGCCTCATGCCATCTCTAGTCTGTGGTTTTCTTCACGCTGTCCTTTGCTCTGAGCATCTTTCTCCTGCCCTTGTGTACTCAAGCTAACACGCTTGTCCTTTAAGTCCCAGCCCACATATCAGCACTTCTAGGAAGCAGAAGTGTACTCAAGCTGGGTAAGTTATCTCTCATGCGCTCAACCCATATTAAACATTGCTCTCTCCACATAAACACTACGATACTCTTGTCTACCTAAATACCATTTTATGTGCTTTTATAGCTCCTCTAGTTTCTTGAGGTACGATAAAAAAAAATTTTTTTTTAAACCGATTACCTAGAGTAGAACTGGTAGCCTCTGAAGCAGACAGAGACCACACTACAAAGAAGATCAATGTTCTTCTCTTTCAGTAGACGGAATAGTTGAGAAAATGCTGTTACAATCCATGAGCTTTACTCAACTCTACAACTAACTCCCTTTTTGAGTTTTCGGCCCTAGTGCGCTTTCCTCCCCAGTAAAAGGGCAGGCAGGAGCAAAGAGGTGTGCTGGGGCTAAGGGCCCTAACAAGTACTGCCGACCACGTCTCTGGCATCCACTAGCGCAAACAGCTGGAGCAGGAGAGACACGTCACCTTTGAGCAGGTGAAACTCTAACACATTGCTGTTTTAAGCCACGAGGTCTAGCCCCGCTGTGCTCCTAACCGGAGTCTATTCTGCTTCCTCCTCAATACCCGTCCTTAGTCTCCCAGATCCACAGTTATTTCATTTCTATGAATTTATAAATTACATTTTAAAACCGGAAAGGGCTTCCACACGGAGCCCATTTCTGGGGACACCTGATTTACCCGCAACCCCTTTGCGACGCAGTCCACTGTAGGTGCCCAACTGACCCGGATAAGAGACTGATATTCTTCCTTTAGTCGCTGCACCCACAACTCCCGATCTCGGGGTCCGGCGTTTGTCTTCAGCACTGGGATCTCAGACACAACTCGGCGAGTGGCTTCGTCAGCCATCTTGGATCAGGGCACAAAGGAAGTACGGAAGTGACGTTGCCTGTAACGTACGGTCACGGTGGCGCCATCTTTACTGTGGGAAGATGAGGAGTAGGGTAAGGACTCCTGGAGACTATCTTGTTTCGACAGAGACAAATTTGCCACCTGGTCACCCGCTTGTGGGTATACGGGGAAACCCGGCATGGAAGCGGATTGCTCTGAAGAAACCTCCAAAGATGACTCAGAATGACTTCCGTTCAGGGTCAGAGACGCAGTCTCAGAAAACCTTGTGACACCTTCCCGAACTTGTGGAGTTGTTAACACTTCCGCTGCCTCCTTGAGACGCCAGTTCACGCTTTTCTACTGCAGGGGAACTTCCTTAGCATACATGCATCGTGTCGCCGGGAGAGCAGGCGCCAAAGCAGTTATGGAAAGCTGTTGAACCGATAGCTATCAAAATATAATATACAATTGCTGTCCAAAAGATTTAACACAACCAAGTTAGAGATTTTTTTTCTTTTTCGGTACCAGGGATTGAACTCAGGACCCTATACTTGCCATGCAGGTGCTTATCCTACTGAACTATCTCCCTGGCCTTCAGAATTCCTGTTTTTTTTTTTTTTTGTTTTTTTTTTTCTTTTGAGGAACAGTGGATTGAATTTAGGCCGTTGCACTTGCCAGGAAAGCGCTTATTCTACTGAGCCATCTCCCCAGCCCCCCTGAGAATTCTTAATAGTGCCAAAAAAGTTTAGAAGTTACAAGAAGGCTCATCTTAGTTTATCCCAGAGTTGGCATTCAACTGGCATTCTTGTGTCTCATATTTGATGTAAACTACGTCATTTTGATGTAAACTACAACTTTTTGGAGTTAATTCATTTAAGAAGGAATTGTGTGGTTTTATAACCAGTGATACATTAGGAATTAAGGCAAGCCCACCAGGCTGGGTTTCCTTTGTAAAAATTTATCTTTCAGGCCGTGGCAGTAATTTTGGATCCAGTTCTGTCAATCATCAAATTTTATGGCCCAGATACAAATTCAATATCCATCTTATGTCTAATTTCCCGGCTTTAAACTCAGTACAATATTCAATAAGGTTTTTTATTTGTTTGTTTTGAGACAGGGTCTTGCTAAGCAGCCTAGGCTGGCCTTGAGCTCACTTTATAACCCAGGCTGATCTCAAACACAATGATCCTACTGCCTCAGCCTCCAGAGGGCTGGGATTACAGGTGTGGACTACCTCACCTGGCTTTTATTTACTTCTTTTTTAATAGGCTCTTGCCTAAATCCTTAAATTGCCCAGCTTGATCTGGATCTTGGCAATCCTCCCAGGCTGCTGGGATTACAGGTGTGTATTGCTCATCTGACTTTGCCTTGTTCTGATTTTGTGGGGGAGGGGCAGGGAGATCAGCCAGTCTTTCTCCATTTCAGTGATGTTAGCCTTAAATTTTTCATAGATGAAAAAGAATTTATTTCATAGATGCCTTTTATCTGGTTGAGGGAGTTTCTTTCTATTCCTCCTGTGTTGAGTGAGGGCTTTTTAAAAAAAATCATACAGATGTTGGATATATTTTAAAGTGTGTGTGTGTGTGTGTGTGTGTGTGACTATGGTTTTTTTTTTGTTTTTGTTTTTTTTGGTTTTGGGTTTTGGTTTTTTGTACCAAGAATCTAACTCATAGGCCTGTGCTTCCCAAGAAGGCACTTATACCGCTGAGCTACCTCTCCAGCCATCGGTTTTTGCCTTTTATTAGCACATTGTACATCTCTTTCATGAGAATATTGGATACTGGATAAAGCTAAAGCAAAGTTTGTAAAACTTTGTTGGGAACTGCTGAACCTGGAAACTGGTCCTATGTGTGAGGGCAAGACAAGGCTACAGTGCCTAAAGCAGTCAAGCTACCTCAGTCTTGAAAAAAGCATCCTGTTAGATCAATGTCAGCTACCTGTGACTAGGAAACCTTGTGTCTCCTGATACTAACTTTGCAAAGGTATAAATAAATGGCCCTACTGTTGTTCCGAAGGTCTTTTGCCAATCAGGCAATGGGCCACCACCTGACCCAGCTCGTGTCTATCTTTTTCTCATTCCTGCTGCTGTTTCTGCCTGTTATATACCAAGAGACCAAGGGATCCCTACAAAACTTCACTACGGTCTCTCAATGATAATCTTTTTTGCCTCAGCCTCCCAAGTACTGGGACTACTCTTGTCTCATGATGGATATATTTAGATTGTTTTCAGCCTTTTCCTATTATAATACTGCAGTGAAAAGCCTTGTTTATTCAGTTTTTATTTTTATTTATTTTTGTGGTACTGGGGATTGAACTCAGG